GGAGGCTGAAAGCATTCTAGCCAAGGGCAACGTTATGTGCAATGGCAGGGAGCTGTGGAAAGGCCTTGCTCATCTTATGAATGATGTGAAGCTCAGTACGGAGGGGGCTGGGGGTGGAGTTGAGGAAAGGTGGAAGAAAAGGGGAAGGGAAAGAAGTATGGTTGGAATGATAGAATGGACCCAGAATGCCCTAAATGTTTGATTAACTAGATTGCCTGGTTAGGAACTCAGCTGCTTTTGGTTAAAAATCCCAGAGGTGTTAAAGGAGATAAGATCCAGCCTGTTTGTGATGGTTCATGACTTTTACAAATGGCCTGCTCTGTTATATATTTTAATAGCTCTGGTAAGAATGCTGGGAAGGGAGGTCTGGGGAGCAATAGATAGTAACTGAGCCTGATAAAATTTGTAGGATATTGGCCTATCTGGACTTATCTAATAAGGTTTTATAGCTAGATGGAATTTAAAGTATTAAGTCTAATTCCATCCCTCTCTCATGCTCTCTCACTCTCACTCTCTCACTCTCCTGCTCTCCAGCTCTCCCTCTCTCTGTAACAGAGGCAGGAAGCCAGGTTGGGTAAGTTAAGTGACTTCATGAAACCCATAATCTAGTTAGTGAAGTAGGGTGCTTGGAGGGATGACGAGCACAGCCTTTGAGTCAGGCAGACCTTGGTTCTCATCATGTCTTTGTAAGTGGCTGTGTGACCTTCAGCAAGTGCTTAAACGCCTCTGAGCCTTGGTTTCCTTATCTGTGAAACAATTACAGTCATCCTTCAGTATCCATGGGTTCTGAATCTGAGGATTCAATCAACCGTAGATGGAAAATATTCTTAAAAAAAATCTGGAAAGTCCCCAAAAAGCAAAACTTGAATTTGCCCTGCCCTAGCAACTATTTACATAGTTTTACATTGTATTTACAACTATTTACATAACATTTACATTGTATTAGGTATTAAAAGTAATCTAGAGATACTTCATCTGGGAGGATGTGCTTAGGTTATACACAAATACTACACCATTTTATATAAGGGACTTGAACATCCTTGGATTTTAGTATCCACTGGGGGTCATGGTGCTGAGGCACAACTGTATATCTACTTCACACGTAGCTCCTAACATAGGGCTTATCTCTTAATAAGGGTTTAATATAATCTCTTTTCCCTTTACCCTTCCTAACAGCACAGGGTCACTGTGATAGAAGTAAAAAAGAGATCAGGAGGTCAGCTGGCCCCTCAAGCAGGGCCTCGAAGGGTACCAGAGTTGTCATGGGGTCCCTACCACTGTATTTTGTTCTGTGCTCTGTAGGGCTGAAAAGTTGACACTATTAGAACTTCCAGAGCTGACTGGCTTCTTGGGGAGAGAGTTACACTAACAAAATACACAAGAAATTGATGAATAGGTCAGAATTCAAATTAATTAACTTCTAGTGATAGATATATCTTCCCATACTGGTTCTCTCCTTCTCAGTCTCATATTTTTATCCTAAAGTAGAATAATTGGAAAGTTGTTAATTGAGAGCAGAACCTGAGCTAAGAGGGTTGGATAGTCTTCAGAAACATTTCACCCAGACTATGAGAACAAGCTGATGCTTTCACCAGGGAACATTCTATAATAGCCTAAACCTTTGTGTCTAGCAGACACATACTCTTAAGTGTTAGAGAAGCACAACACATTCCTACTGTAATTGCCCCATTTAGATGGTATGTGGACCATATCTTTCTATTAACACGTGCATCTTCTGAAATACTATAATCAGTTTGGCTAGAATTATCTTCAGTTGCATCCTACTATTGAGAACACTCCCACATTACTTTTTTTTTTTTTTTTTCTTGCGTTATGCGGGCCTCTCACTGTTGTGGCCTCTCCCATTTGCGGAGCACAGGCTCCGGACGCGCAGGCTCAGCGGCCACGGCTCACGGGCCCAGCCGCTCCGCGGCATGTGGGATCCTCCCGAAACGGGGCACGAACCCGCGTCTCCTGCAACGGCAGGCGGACTCTCAAGCACTGCGCCACCAGGGAAGCCCCTCTCCCATTACTTTTGACTGTACTTGGGTGTTTCACAAATCTATACCAGCATCTTACCAGGGGTAAGCTCTACAGATAGCTGATGTTAACTAATTTTAACTTACAGAGTTAACCAGATTTCCTCCATTTTCTAGAGGCATCTCATTACAGACCTCCTTGTACTAGTCTCAATTATCTGTATACCCATCGCCTGATAGGTAGCATGTACTCAATAAATGTCAGTTGAACAAAGGTGAGGATAGAAGAGGAACACTAGAAAAGAGCTCAAGGAGAAAAATTTAAGTCTATTCTTTTCTCTATAGCATTCTACCTCTTGTCTTTGATAGGGACATAGTGAAGGGACAAAGTAGGTAATTAAATAGTTAATCCCACTGGGGGATTGTTAAAGAAAAAGGTATGGGAGACCACTCTAAGTTAATGATCACTCAATCAAGCAGGCCTGCGTAGCAACAAAACTATGCAACAGAAGCATGAGACATGCCCCCAAACAATAAAACAATGGTGGCGTGAGACCCACATCCTGCCCAGTGAGCTCAGTAAGCTGATTCCAAGGGCATGCTTCTCTGCACACACTAAAAACAAAAAATATAAGGAAAGGGTGACATTATACTGAAACCTGAGATGATTTACCATTTTTAGTAAATAAGCGCCTTTTGGCTCATTTCCATTGCACCATGACAGTCCAGACTTGACCAAGTAGGGACAAGAACCTCCCTCCCTCCCCCCACCCCCCCCCCCCCCCCACCACCACCCCCCCCCCCCCCCCCCGCCACGTGGAGGAGGAGCTGATGCTGGAAGTTTGACGTCTACTCAAGAATGAGGAAGAAGGTGGTCTTTCCCCCTCCCCACTTTTCCTTTGATTATAAAACTGTAGCCCACTAAGTTCTCGGAGCATGGCACCCTCTCACCCAGCCGCTTGGGAAGTCTCAAGTCTCACAAGTGTCCTATTCTAATAAATCACTTATCTGTCACTTTGCCTCTCCCTGAATTCTTTCTGCGCTGAGACATAAAGAACTGAAGCTCCTCGGAGCCCCCAGACGCATTTCAGCGGTTTCAGCTTTATGGGATATTCAAGAAAGGGTGAAAATGGGGTAGGGATGTAGAACTCCCAGGGATGGGAAGCTGAGGAGAAAGAAATGGAACTTTCAGGAAAAATTTCTATGGAAGGTAGGTGGAGGATTACACAAACGAGTCTCTAGGGGCTGTTGCTGAAGTCTAAGAGAGGCAAACAAGAGGATCATGGAGGAAAAGGCTGAAGCTAAAGAAGTAACACTGGATATGCTGTTGAGATGCAGGGAACAGTGGATTCTGGCTTAGGTACCTGGAAGATTGTTGGTGCCATTCAGGTAAAGAGAGCAAAGGGCGCGGGGGGGGCGGGGGTTGGATGAGTTTGCTTTTGGATAGGTCGAGTTATTGGGACAAACAGATTGAAGTATCCAGTCAGCAGTCACGTATATGGGTCTGAGCTTCTGAAACAAATTTGGGTGTTATTTGAAAGCATGGAGTTGGGTAAGACTCTTCGGGGAGTGAAGAATGGAGGAGTGTGGGGGAGGGGCGAGTAGGGAGGCAGAGCCCAGCTGGACACCGGGATTTAAAGACGGGCAGAGGAATTTGGTGTTGCCAGAGTTGAGGGGTGGGGGTGGGGAGAAATAAAATTAAATAAATAGGTTAAAAAAAAGGGCAAAGGAACAGAAGCAGGATGAGGAAAGACGAAGGGCGACATTTTGAAAGCCAAGGGAAAGCCGCCTTCAGGTTCAAGGCTGTTTTGGACGCCGCCGGGAGGTAAAGAGGAGGATGACTAATTCTATGCTAGCCTCGGTCAAACTGGAGTCCGAGGAGCAGTGGCGGGTGGCATGGGGCTAAACCACACCGCAGGCAACGAGTAAATTGAAAGGGGGAGGCCTTAGTAGTACTATATTCTTTAAGAAGTTTAGCTTTGACGAGCCAGAAAGAGAGGGACTTGAAGGGTAATTTAGGGCTCAAGGGGGTAATCTGCTTCAGAATTCGGTACCCTTGAGTGGGAGTAACTCTACATCTGCCGGAGGCTCTCTGCAGTCCTTTTGGGTCCTTCTTGGGATTTCCCTTGGTGAAAAAAAACCTACCACTCTTAAGCTGGAAAAAATACTGCCACTCAGTAGAAAACAAAACAGCGTGTTGTTTGAAAGCCTTCGCTTTAAAAATCCTGGCATGCAAATAAGGGGCTTTAATGTGGTTCACAGCGATTGGTAGGTACTTACCAAGGCCGTCATTTCCTAGTAGTACAAGATGCAAACGAAGAGTCTGCTTTCCGCTTTCCTATTGGCTGTTCGATCGGACTCAGCTTTTAGCCAATCAAACCACTTCGCTTCACCCCTCCCGGTAGCTCTTATAAATTACATCAAATTGGTTATCCTCGCCACATCCTTCTCTTTGAAAAAGAAGCTGTAACTGCATTTTTAGCCGTAATGTCAGGACGCGGAAAGCAGGGAGGCAAAGCTCGGGCCAAGGCCAAGTCGCGCTCGTCCCGCGCTGGCCTTCAGTTCCCCGTGGGGCGAGTGCACCGCCTGCTGCGTAAAGGCAACTACGCCGAGCGAGTGGGGGCCGGCGCGCCAGTGTACCTGGCGGCTGTGCTGGAGTACCTGACAGCGGAAATCCTGGAGCTGGCCGGCAACGCGGCCCGAGACAACAAGAAGACGCGCATCATCCCTCGCCATTTGCAACTAGCCGTGAGAAATGATGAAGAGCTCAACAAGTTACTCGGGGGTGTCACAATTGCCCAGGGCGGCGTCTTGCCCAATATCCAGGCAGTCTTGTTGCCCAAGAAAACAGAGAGTCACAAGCCTGGCAAAAATAAGTAATTAGGAGGCTTGACACCAACCCCACTCACCCCAAAGGCTCTTTTAAGAGCCACTAAAGTGTCAAATGAAGGGCTGGTCACGAAACAGCGCATTAGCTCTTTCTTTTGAAAACTTGGGTGGCTCTAAAAAGAGCCTTTGGTCTTTGGTTCACTTTGTCTGGATTTATTTGCTTTTGGCTTTGTGGCTTTCAGTTTTCTTTGGTAACAGAACGGCCTGGATGTTGGGCAAAACACCACCCTGGGCGATGGTGACTTTGCCCAACAGCTTGTTCAGCTCCTCGTCGTTGCGGATGGCCAGCTGAAGGTGACGAGGAATAATGCGCGTCTTCTTGTTGTCTCGGGCCGCGTTGCCCGCCAGCTCCAGAATTTCGGCGGTCAGGTACTCGAGGACTGCCGCCATATACACGGGCGCGCCGGCCCCCACCCGCTCAGCATAGTTGCCTTTGCGTAGCAGACGGTGCACTCGCCCCACTGGGAACTGCAGACCTGCGCGGGACGAGCGCGACTTGGCCTTGGCGCGGGCCTTGCCTCCTTGCTTTCCGCGGCCAGACATAACTGAAAATAACGCTACAAGGCCTAGAGTTCAGATTCTCGCAACAAACAGGATTAAAAGTTCAGCAGTAGGAAAGCTTTTATAAGCTTTCCTAGGGGTGGGGTCAGGAACGAATTTTTCATTGGTCCTAAATTGGCTCCAGAAATGGCCAATAAAGTCAAGAGTCGGTGTTGTTACGTAGCTATTACTGATAACGCAAGGTCTCTACATGGCCCAATGGAAACGTAAGACTTTTGGAGCCTTGATTTGCATACGGTGGTTATAAAAGGATCGGGCCCGCCCATTCTCATACTACTTTTCCTTGCTAACGGGTGTTGTATTCTACAATGCCTGAGCCGGCAAAATCCGCTCCCGCGCCCAAGAAGGGCTCGAAGAAAGCTGTTACCAAAGCTCAGAAGAAGGACGGCAAAAAGCGCAAGCGCAGTCGCAAGGAGAGCTATTCCATCTACGTGTACAAAGTGCTGAAACAGGTGCACCCGGATACTGGCATCTCGTCTAAGGCCATGGGCATCATGAACTCGTTTGTCAACGACATCTTCGAGCGCATCGCGGGCGAAGCGTCGCGCCTGGCGCATTACAACAAGCGGTCGACCATCACCTCCCGGGAGATTCAGACGGCCGTGCGCCTGCTGCTGCCCGGCGAGCTGGCCAAACACGCCGTGTCCGAGGGCACCAAGGCGGTCACCAAGTACACTAGCTCCAAGTGAGTCCCTGCCGGGACGCGGCGCTCGCTCAAGTCGCCGGGCCGCTTGACTTTCCAAAGGCTCTTTTCAGAGCCACCCACCTTATCACTAGAGAAGAGCTTTGTTCACTTGTTTTCCCTCAGTCTCTTCTCACAAAGTAAGTTGCAGTAGTTGGATAAAAGTAATGGCAAATGGCACACGTAGCTTTTTAGGCCCTTATGACTTGAGGCTCCGGGCGCGTGACTGGCTTTGCTTTTGAATCTAGGCCGAGTCTTAACCCTTCACTGTGCTGCTTAGTTTGCTTATGAGTCTGTCAGTTCTAAATTAGGATACTGAGACTGCTCCTTCCCATCCTCTGCTCGTAGACTGTTGTGTTCTGGTGGCTCTGTTGGGTACGTTTCATCGGTGTTCTAAAACGAAGTGAGTGATTTCGGCCATCCTCATTTAAGAAAGGACCCCAGGATGTAAGTAAGCCCGGGTCCTGCGAACACTGCATCACAGCCCTGAAGAATTCTCCCGAGAGTTTGGCAGCTGCTTGGGTGCCCAGTCACCAGTTATGCCTTGCGACGTGACCTCCTGTGGATACCAGTAGTTTGGGGTATTTAGGACGGAACCCGCGCTGCCTGGTCTCAGCTTTTCCCTGATTGGACGACATGAATATTCAAAATCTCGCGCCGCTCCAGAATTCATAGATTCTGGTTTCCACCGCTTACTTTGGTGCTTTGAAATCTCTGTTATTTTTTGATTTGTGGATCATTTTTGCATTTAATTCTCTTATCTTGGAATGTTTCGGCCTCAAGTAACTGTAAGGCACTAGTCATTTTAGTCTGGGCTCAAACGTCACCTTTCAGAAACCTTCCCAAGTCATCCACTCAGGAGTTTGCGCCTCTCCTTCCTGCCTGTCCTGGGCCCTCACTCTATTTTATCTTCCTCCTAGCAGCGGTCAGAAATTGTCTTGTTCGTTTATATTCTTGTTTACGGTCTTTCTCCTCAAGCCCTTAACAGAAACTTTGCTGGTCTGGTTTTCCTCTATATCGTCAATGCCAACCAGTACTGGGCACACAATGGACACTTCAATACTTATTGAATTAATATTTGTTGAATTAATTTTTTTGTCCCACTCCTTTTTTAATCGCTTCCGTGGATGGATGGGTGCGGTTCGTTTTCATTAGATGTATGTGAAGACGTGATGAAAATGGAAATGTTTTTGGAGCTCCTTCCCCAAGTCTGTCCGTGGTCACCTCAGGGCAACAGCTGGGAGGAGGACTTTGTTAAGATTTTTTCTTTTTTTTTTTTTTTTTGCTTTAAGGGGGAGGTGGCAGTTTTGTCCCTCCTTTATACTTCTCAGTTTGGCCTAATCTCTTGGATTTTCATTAAATTCAGAACATTGGTCACTGAAAATCCTTTTCCTTTCTCTATTTATGACATCCTTCCATCCTGATCCTTTGTTCCTCACGGAGATGAGCTTTTAATTTATGTTCACCATCTCATTTGCTTTTCAGGAGACCCTACACAATAGACAAGATTAATATCCCTTTAAAAACGAGATTGAGAGAAGCGAAGTGATTGGTCCACTGGTCATGCAGCTGACCTTGTCCACCTTTGTATCCTCAGATGCGAGGACAATTGTATTTTAGTTTTACTTCATGTAATTACAGAATGTTGAATCTTTCTGTCCAAGCCTTGATTTTGCTGATAAAGACACTGATGGTCTGATGAGTTATTCAACTCTGCTTTTGGATAAGGGATCCTAGAGTTAACTGCAGGGGTTTCATGAATACAAATGGACTACAGACATTATCAGAGACTGAATAAATCTTATGTTTCCTTACATGTGTGTTTTCAGATGTGTGTAGATGCTATTGTTATTATTAAAGTTACCAGTTAATTTAAAAGCTTGGCTGGATTATTGTATCTGCAATATAGTTTTTAACTAAATGAAATGAACAGATACAACCACTACTGGGTCTGTGGAAAAGCTGAGTGCCTCTGACTTGGAAGATGAATATTTATAAATCATCAGCCAAACTTACTTCTACTCCAGAAGTGCACTGGGGCTGAAATAGCCTGTTATGAGGACACTGTTAATGCTCAGTAATTGGAAAATACATGACCACAAAACCAAACAAAAATCACCACAAACAAGAAGCACTATAAACAAGATAGAAGAAATAAAGTCCTTAAGAAAGTTTATAACACCTGCAGAGTACTCACTGTATGCCAGATGATGTTCTAGGTCCTTTACACATATTGACTCATTTAATCCTCACAAGAACCTTATGAAATAGTTACCATTATTATGTCCCATTTTACAGATGAGGAAACTGAGGCACAGAAAGGCTTCTCGGAAACTCTCCAGAGAATAAACTCTTGGTTCAATGTTTAACGGACTTGAGAAAGTAAGATCCCTCTCCGAAAACCTGGATTTTGGGGGAAATATTTATGCTTTAAAATTAAAATATAAAGAAATACTGCCTGCTTTTTTTTCAGCATGCACCTTGGATATAAGTCTATGGTGGTGGCTGAAAGTCTTGGGTGGGGTGCTCTCATTCTCCATTCCAGAGACCATAGTTCAGCTCAGTTTAATTTGTCGCCATAGTTGTAGGGCTCATCAGCTGAAATACTTTTACTAATGTGAGAGAGCTTTGGTTACTGACCGTGGGCTCCTCCAGTGTTTACTAGGAAGTTACAGAGTGAGAAAGGGGAAGGAGGTGTTAGAGTTTGGTATTTTAACTCTGGAGGGGAGGTGATTAGTGATGGTGAGATTTATCCTCCTAAAGAACCTCTTTGATCTTTCTCCTTCTCAAACATCTGTATACATTTGCTTAAGTTGGAGTTAATAACAATACTTGTTATAATAATAATTGCTTCTACTTCTTGAGCACATAAATATTTACCTTGTCCTCTGCTAAGTGGTTTACAAGCATTGCCTCATTTAATCTTCACAGCCACCACTTAAGATGGGTTTCATCCTAATTTTATAGGTAAAGGAGATTGAATTTCAGAAAAGTTAAATAACTTGTCCAGGATTGTTTAGGAAGTAAATGGTGGAACTACAACCCAATGCACACTTTTAAAAAGCTTGATATTCAAGGCCCTCCATAATCTGCCTCTTCCTTCTTCCACAGCTCTATCTCCTACTGCTATACAGGATTTATGCTCTAGTTAACATGGTCTAGTCACCTTCCCCTAAACCCGTTTGCTCTTTCTCAGGGCTAGACTGGACTGCCCCTTCTTTCTGGCTTGGCCAGAGCTTTCTTTCAAGCCAAGGCCATAATCTTCCACCTCAAATGACACCTCTCAACTAATTTCTCTACCACCCTCATCTCTTCTTTGAACGAACAAAAACAAAAAAAACTTTACTGAGGTATAATTGGAATACAATAAACTGTACATGTTTAAAGTATACTTTAAGTTTAGACATACATAAATACCTATGAGAACATGAGTACAATAAAAATAATGGACATATCCATCCACCCCCCAAAAAAAGGGTTTCCTAGTGCCCCCTTATAATTCTTCCCCTCTGCTTCCTTCACCAATGTCCTCCTTTGGCCCCATCCTTGCCCTCAAGCAACCACTGGTTTGCTTTATGTCATTATAGGTAGTTTGTATCATACAATGTATCATTTGTATCTGGTTTCTTTCACTCAGCAAAATTGTCTTGAGATTCGTATATATTTAGGTGCATGTATCAGTAGTTCATTCCTTTTTATTGCTGAGTAGTATACCATTGTATAGCTGCAACTGGTAATTCAGTTACTTGTTGATCAATAGTTGTGTTGTTCCCAGTCCTTCCTCTAGTTCTTTTTTCTTTTTATTTGGCTGCGCCCACATGGCATGAGAGATTTTAGTTCCCCGACAAGGGATTGAACCCGCACCCCCTGCAGTGGAAGCGTGGAGTCTTAACCACTGGACCGCCAGGGAAGTCCCCTTCCTCCACTTTTTTTTTTTTTTTTTTTTTTTTTTTTTGTGTGCGCCCTTGATCTGTATTCTGAGGTTGCACTATTTTACATGAATGTTTATTTCAGGGCTTCCCTGGTGGCGCAGTGGTTGGGAGTCCGCCTGCCGATGCAGTTGATATGGGTTCGTGCCCCGGTCCGGGAGGATCCCACGTGCCG